CAGAACAGGCAGATCTACGAAGTACACTGCTGAGGGGAGCAGCGGGCGGGTCAGGAGAGGTCTGCCACGCCATGTGGTCACCTCTGGGGCAGGCGGAAATCGAACTCATGCAGAAGTGGTTTCAGCTTCTTAGTACAGTGCTTTAACACGCTGCGCCACCAGGGAGGTCCCCTTTGTTCTTGATTTTAAAGCCTCTTCAGGCTATTCCCTGTCAAACACCTGGTTGTGTATAGCTGCTGTCTTCTCATTAGCCAGGGGCAGCTTGGGGAGTGAGTAGCAGTCGTCCTCATGTGGGTTAGAATTAACAGGAACGTGAAGGGTGAAAAGAGACTCATGCATAAGTACCCCCGTCCTGAGAATCCCACACAGACAAGCGCCGCTGCCCACTGCATGTGGGTAGGTGCAAGGACGCTTGGTTGCCACACCAGTGCGCTGCCACAAAGAACAGAAATGTGACTTCTGTTGCTCTACGTTTTTTCAGAAAAGTCTATCAGTGAAAGAGTTTTTAATAAGAAAACACAGCCGAAGCTCAGGAAGGAAACTCTAGATAACTGATAATAGGAAAAACATGGATGATTTGAACACAAGTTCGACGCAGTCACAGTCCCTTCCCTCCTCCTAGAGTGGTGTCCTCGGTGGCAGAGCTGGGATTTTACTAGGTGGTTTAGATCCTTCCCAGTTGCACCACCAAAGCCCATTGTGACTGTTATGCTGTCTCTGAATAGAATCCTTATTTAAAAAAAAAAAGTGATAAAAAGTGACAATTATTTCAGTTGGCAGTGACAGAAACATAATTCAAACTACCAGGTTGTCAGAAAAACCATGACACATTTTTGTTTGAAAAAAATGGGCCTCCCTGATGGCATAGGGGTTAAGTTGTAGCACTATGGCTTGAGTGTGATCCCTGCCCAGGGAGCTCCATGGCGCAGCAGACCTCTCCTGTCTCAACTTCTACGTAGTGTATCTATGTAGATCTGCTGGTTCTGCTCCCCACTCTCTCTAGTGATTCCTCTCACCCCACACACCTCTGGCCTACACACCAGTTCTTCTATGCAAAAAATTTAAAAATCTTAAAAAAAAAAAAAAAGAAAAGAAAAACATAGGAAAGATGTCATGACTTTTCCTGCAACCCAATAGCTTAGAACAAAGAAAAAGGAAATCTGTCCATCAGACTTTGAGGTATTCCATCTAGTCATAGAAAGCGCTATAAGGAACTAAACCGGGAGGAGGGTAGGCAAGCAGCTCAGTGTGAGGCAGTGTGGACATGGTCACGTCCCTGCAGAGACCCCCCTCTTTCTACTTCTCGTTTCTGTTTCTCGTTTCTGTTTCTCTCTGCCTTGGCCTCACTCTTTCATGGCAAACCAACATCTTACAGTGAAAAACTCAACTGACTTCTGAGCTGTGTTCTGTGGTTTCGGTGGTTTCCAAAGGGACCTATTGATTCTTTAATGCGGGTCCTGTGGAAAATAACAGGGATGATTTGATCCCCAGTCTGACCAGTCACAGCGGAGCATGGGCGGGTGTGGGCAGGGCTGAGGGAAGCAGGATCACATGGGAGGAGCAGATGGGTAATACCAGAACCATGTGGCTAGATCAAAGTGTGGGAGCATCACCCCAAATGAGACCCAAGCAGTCGGGGACTAGCAGCCTAGTCCAGCTGCTTCAAAACTATGGAAAGTAGAATTAAAAATGACATGGACTAAAGGTTTGATTTATAATCTGATGTGGGATTTTATGCATTCAGTGTAAAACTGAGCACACTCAGCATCATTTCTTAGGTTTTAATAACAGAGGTAGGAATCTGAAAACTTGGGTCTTAAATACTGCTTGTCATTAGTGAATAGGAAAAAAATCACAATTTCATATTACCCCAGTTTCTCCATCTGTAAAATGGGAAGATTGCATTAAATATGTGCTTTCTGGCTGGGCAGGTACCAGGCTGGTCTGGGGTGGGAACTGCGTGGAGCAGTCTGGTTGTCATATTGACTTGGGAGAAAGCTACCTCTGGTACTTAATGGGGAGAGAGAAGGGGGTTTAATGTTTGACTATGGCTGGGAAAGACCCACACAGCAAGGAATGAATCCCAAGTCAGTCATATTCTATTGAGATCACCAGGTTAAATGTGGGGCAGTGGTTGATCCAAGCTTTATAGTTTAGGCATGATAGTTTCGGTTCTGCTGAAAACAAGACCAATACTATATTTATATCCATGCACATGGGTGTACGCACACACACACGTGCACACATGAAAAAACCTGCAGGACAGAGATACATTTGTGATAACAGGATAGAGAAGTGGCGATGTGATGGGATGGAGAGTGAATGAGAGATGGCTAAGTCAACTGTGGAAGCTGGCAGATCGGAAATCTGCAGGGCAGCTGGGGACCCCGGGAAGAATTGATGTTCCAGTTAAGTCCAAAGGCAGCTGGCAGTAGGGTTGTTTCCTCCTCAGTGTTTGTCCTTAGGGCCCTCGCTGACTGTATGAGGCCCACATTTTGGAGGGCAATCTGCTTTACTCAGCCTGCTGACTGAAAGGCGGATCACATCTGAAAGACGTGTACGCCACTTAGCTCTGGAACCTAGGCAAGGTAGCCCATAAAATCAGCTAACATGCCATGGTTTGAAGAAGTGTTCAGTGTTTTTATTTCAAAGCACGTTTTCCAAATATCTTTGTTCTCAGAACATTATAGGTTCTTTATGTAATTTATTGGGTGCAAGTCCTGATATTGCTTCCATACTCTGGTGAGACAAATGTGAATTCGTGTCCAGAAGTCTCTTTTAAATCACAGGCTCAGATTGTGTGTGTTAGAGGTGCATCTGGTCAAGCATTGACCCACTAATCTGCCTCTTTCCTTGTCCGTTGACGGCCTCCCAGGCACTGACCATGCCCTAGCCCCCTGACCCCCGCTTCTTGGGGCTGTGTCAGGGTATCCTCAGCTGTTTTTAGAGATACATTGTGTTCCCTTATGATGTTAGGGTTTTATGCCTTTGACATGGCAGTCCTTGAATTTTCCTCAAGTTGACAATTAATAGTGGCTTAAGAGGAAAAAAGTGTTTTCTGTTCAGACTCTGGGAAAGCTGAGAGGGGATGAGAATGGCTAAATGTGCCAGTCTAGCTAAATCCAGTACCTCGACAGTTATTCTGTTTCTATTAAATGCTTAATACTTATATTCACTTTGCAACTGACATTGAAAGATCATACTCATATTTAGAAATTACATCATTTATAACATTATGCAAATTGAAACTAATGTCTGGATTTACATATATTACCCATACAACTATAAGTCATACATGATGCTATATGGGTTTCTGATTTGCATTCGCTAAATAAATTCCTTTTCTGCTCTGCATGTGATTTTGAATCTGCTGGAAAGATTGATTACCCCTCTGATGAAAATAGGTCTTTTCATAAGGATGTTTGGGACCCAGGGATTGGGTTCAATTCCTCATCCCTTATGGCTCTCGTGGGGAAAGTTTAAATGAACCAGACTTCAGAGCTTACAACTTGGGAGTCCACCAGACGGAGCATGCATCCATTTATGTGTTTGTGTTTGGTCAGGATGCTGCTGAAGGGCCTCCCCATCATCCTCCCCGCTCTGACAGGGCATGTAGGTCAGAGATGACCTTGGTTTTTGGTGGAGCCTGTTGTGGACAAAGGCTTTCCCTTGTATTTCAGTCTAGTAGCTGAAGCCCCTCGAACCTTCTCCAGATCTGAGTTTTCTCTCCTCTCCTTCCTTAACTGCCTAGCTTTGGCTCTGTTTCCAAAGGTCTGTGCTCATCACTCGGTTCGGTAATTCAAGTGCTGCCTGTAAATCATGCTCTGGAGCCGTAGTCCTGCCAGCTGTCACTAGACGCTGCTGATCCCTTCCCTTCTCACCTACTCTTCCACCAGCTGCCAAGATCCCCCTTACAGCTACTCCCCATTCCCCCCTTTTGGGGGCGTGTTATGGGTTGAATTGTGATGGAGCTCACTGGGTACCTGAGAATATGACTTTATTTGGAAATAGTCACTGTTGAAGAAACTATTTGAGTTGCACTGGAAGAGAGTGGAGTTTTAGCCAACATGTAACCAGTATGACTGGTGCCCTTCAAAGAAGAGCCATGTGAAGCACAGGCATTCACTGGGAGAAGGCCAGGTGATAAAACGGGCAAGCGAAAGAGCAGCAAGGGTTGCCACTAAACCGTGGGGAGCAGAGGAATTGGGGGAGGGCTCTCTGTGGGTTACAGAGGCCCCAAGGCACAGTGGCACCGTGTTCTCGCCTCTAGAACTGTGAGATGATACATTTCTATTGCTGTCTGTCCTGCCTTGCTAAGATAGCCCTGGGGAGCTGATGGAGAACCCCATGACTCACTTTGTTTTAAGCGCCTCTCTCCTGTTATGTGTCCTTGAGAAGGCCGCTGGGCCTTTGACTTGCTGTAGATGGAAACCCTTCTATGGCACTGTCCAACTTGTCCTGTGTCTCCTGAGCCAGGGTCTCTGACCCTGGGGCCCAGGCCTGGTCCCTAAGTGAACAGCAAGCACTTTTCCACAGCCAACACTGCTGCAGACTCCCTGCCAGGACACAGTCAAGGCTCTTCTCACCAAAAAAAGGCATGTGAGGGCCTGACTCTGTCTCCTCCTCCCCAGTTCTTTGTTGAGGCCCTAGCCCTCAATTTTTGGGGGAGAGCACCTCTCAAAGTGATTATGATTAGGCGAGGTCTTGAGAATGGGACCCATATGGTGGTCTGAGAACTCTTAGATCCCCACAGAGCATAGCATGGGTACACACAGAAGAGGTCAGGTGAAGACACAGCCAAGTCGTGACCTGCTATAAACCCAAGGGGAGCCCTGGAACAAACCCTGCCTTGCTAGCACCTTCTCCTTGTTCTCAGGCTCCCAAATGTAAGAAATCAGTTGCCTCCACTTGGTCACATAGTTGGTCCAGGGAGTGTTGTGACGGCCCTGAGCCACCTGATTGTGTATTTGTTTGTGCTCTGCTTCCAAACAGCCAGCACAGCGTGGTAGGGGACTTGATTTGTTTCCTACAGCTGCCAGAACAAATCACCACAGGCCTGGTTACTTAGAATGGCAGAAATTTACTCTCTCTCAATTCTAAAGGCCAGAAGCCCCACATCCCAGTGTCAGCAAGGCCACGCTCACTCTGAAGACTTGAGGAGAGGAGAATCCTTCATTACCTCTTCTGCTCTTGGTGGCTGCACAGCTGCAACTGATTACTCATATGCTTCCATCTTCACAACAAATCTGTCCTTGGGGCTAGGACCCGCCTGGGGACACAGCATCATCTCATCTCATGGGGCTTCATTATTACATCAACGAAGACCCTGCCTCCTGTCAAGCCCCATTCTAGGTGCTAGGATGTGGACATATCTTTTGTGGGACCACCATTCAACCCACCATGTGGCTCAGAAAAAGAAAAAAAAATTCTAAATTATATGAGAAACAAAACTGGCAAAAGAAAAATCAAAAATGATTTATGCTGGTTTCAGGCCATTACCTCATACTTTTTGCCTTTATGAAGATTTAAGTCTCTGGAGTTTCCATATGGTTGGAAAGAAAATAACTGCAAAACTACTGAACTGGAAGCATAGTATTTGATTTTCCACTTAGTGACAGGCTAAATTACAAAAGATTGCAAAGCATTTTGTGTAGACATGAGGCTCCTGGTTTGCTGCAGTTCAGCTTGGCAATTTACATTAACAGCGTTCAGCCAATTACACCTCTCTTATCAACTTAGGGCATTTACAGCAGGGAGACCACACACAATTAAAGTTCTCCCAGTCAGTCAGCTTCCATATGTGTTCCCACTCTCAGCCTCAATCTGTTTCCACAGTTTCTCTTTCATATCTGAGGCCCTTTCCTGTGGTTTACCAGTCTGCTCTCAAAGTGGGAAGTTTTGGGGGGAGAGCAATGGATCTGTTAGTGCAAATGGTAAAAGAGAAAGAAATTATGGCACCACAGAGAGATAAAAAAACAAGTCATCAGTTAGTGCAGCATTAATGTATGTTGAGCTTAATCATTTTGGTAGTCATGCCAGTGAGGTGTAGAGAAGTTACTTCTTATCTCGCAGATAATGAAACTGATGCTAATAAGAGTTGGATACTTCACAAGTCCCTACAGTATATCAGTGGTGTGCCACGTAAGTCAGGTGTGTTTTGACAAGCTGTAAGACACTATGAGGCAGGTAGATCTCCAACATATTTGAAAGTTTGGAAGGATCGCTTAAATAATCACATGGACGCTTAAAGAGGCTAACCTAAAAGCCACACTGATTTGTTTAAAGTTTGTTAAAGTTAAGTTTAGTTTTCTTGTAAGAACAAGATAGCCAATATTTTTTTTTTAATTTTATTTATGCATATAGAACTTGGCTTGCAGACCAGAGGTGCAGTGAGAGGATTCACCAGAGACAGAGTGGGGAGCAGAATAGGCAGATGGATAAAGTACGCTGCTGAGGGGAGCATCGGGCAGGTCAGGAGAGGTCTGCCATGCCACGTGGCTCACTTCCGAGGCAGGGATTGAACTCGCACTGAAGAGGCTTGGCCAGCTAGCAATGCTGCGCTTTAACCCACTGCACCACCAGGGAGGGTCCAAGATAGCCAATCTTTGAAACCTTTAAAAAAAAAAAATTGGGGAAATAACAGTGACCAACTTTTGTTTAAAGGAATTTGGCAAGCAAAGATTTTGCTTGAGATGGGAAAAACATAATTTTGTGAATTGACAATCAAGGTCAGCATGATGTCTCGAAGACTGGCTTCAATTTAGGCCCAAAAGCTTACATGTTTGAGATCTTACAAAGACAATAAAGGATAAGAATCAAAAGAAGGGACAAGAGTGGATAGTTTGGGCTGGTTCATGCAGGTGGAGTTCAGGCTTGCCTCCCAGTGCCAACAGGCATGTTACACCCAGATAAACTATGGAAACACCAGGCACCCAAGCATTTGATCTCTAAAGCATATTTTTGCAAAAAGGACTTCACTAAAGATAGAGAAGGTATGAAACAGATATTCTTGTTCAGTCACATGAAAAAGTCATCAAATACTTTCAAGCTCCTTCAAAAGTCTTTCACAGACTCCAAAATTCTCCCTCCAGAGAAGTATATTCTATTTTATGACTTATCGAAGTAATGATTGGGACATGATTTTAATATTCTGTAAGATTACAGCAAGCAGTTTCTCAACTGCCTCATTTAAGTCAGAAAAATGAATGTGGTGTAGGTGATCCTGTGTACATGGCTGTATAAGCTGCTTACGAAATTTCCTTCACATCTGCACAAGAAGAGAATGAGATCTGCTGTTCTGGTTGTGCCTTGTACAATTCTAAGGAAGCCCATTTTCACAGGTCACAGTGTGAAGGGTCACCCCAAGAAACTCCAGGTGTCCTGATGATGGTCTTGTGTCCTGTCATCACATGACATAGCTGCTCAGAAACCCCCCTTTCCAGTAACATAACCTCTTTGAGGTGTGATGGTCACCTGTTTATATAGAACTTGCCGACTCCTGCACCTTTATGGCAGGACATGGATGTGTACTGATCCATAGACACAGCTGTTTGGATGTTCTCAGGCTCACTGTCTACTACCAACTCATCTTGATTTTGGGGATTGCATTACCTGATATGTGGTGACTGTGTCAACCCTGTACTTTCGGACATGGAGAATGTTCTTTGCTCCTTGCTCTTTTTTACCACTTTATCTCAAGCTCATTGATGTGAAGAGAAATAATGACATGTTCTCATAGAACAGGAAACATTTATGACAGTCTTGCAGTTTCATAAATACCAGTTACCCTGTAGCTCCAGAAATGTGAAATAGCGTTGTTTCCAGCCTTTGGGTACCCTGCACATAATATCCATAATTCCTACCTTCATCCTCAGCTGCCGAACTGTAGCACCACTGGTCTCCTCAGCAGGGCCTGTGGTGGTGTGGGCATTTCTGCCTCAGGCCAGCAGTCCTCAGAGTCAAGCTGCATCGCTCTGCGACAGGCAGTTACCCGGGGTATATGCTTTTCATGGTAGTTGGTGGCAGCCAAATGGGGCAAATCAAACTGAGCAACACATGTCAAGCTTCTGATTGGTCATGAGTTCCAAGTTCGTTGGCCATAGCAAGTTGGCAGTGCTGTGGTGGAGATGTAACTTCTGACCTAAGCAGTGTTGTCGTGGGGCAAAAGGAGGGGATGGTCATCCTGGTACAGGAGGGGAATGAAGAACAATCCAGTGTGAATGCGCCATAAGCCGATCCACGGCACCTATGGGAATCTCACTTCTATTCTGTCTTTTACAGGAGCTGAAATTGATTGGACTGGATATTCCACACTTTGCTGCAGACCTTCCGCTGAACCGCTGTAAAAATCGTTACACAAACATCCTACCATGTAAGATTGTCAGTAGTGCTGATCCCACTCGGGGTTTTGAAAGGAGGATCGGCTGTTACTGCAGACTGATTGGTTTCACCAATGTCATACCAAATTTGTTACTGCCTGGATCCTCACGGTCCTGGGCTGGATCAAACTTGTGCTGCGATGCCATCAGATCCTCTCATGTGTAGAGAGATTTAATATGCTTTGGAATGAGTTGTATTAGGTAAGAAAAAGAGACAGAGCATTTGACCCTCTAGACATAAAAAAGAAAAAAAAAACTTAGTCAAATTTGGAAGAGAAGATTTGTATTCTCAACTATTTTCATTGATAACAGAAAGAAGTGAATGGAAAGGGAGGGAGGTGTGTGAAATGCCTCCTTTCTCAGCTCTGGAAAGTCCTGCCCTTGCTTTGCACTTTGTAGTAAAAGCAGCAGTCATGAACAGAGTAATATACAGGAATATAAAACCTAAATGCATATTCAGGCTTTTTCAAATTCAGATGTGTTCTAGTGCGGACTGAATCTGACTCTCACTATACTCTGGGCAGAGGAGTGTAAAGAGAGGATGCAAACATGGGAAGAGGGAAGCTGGAAGAGCTGCGGAACAAGAACCCTGCCCTTGGCAAGAGCTCTTAATACCATCGGGGGGTACTGCCGCTGTCACCCCTTATATCTGTGCACACTGCAGACTGTGCTTTTCTCATTTGAAGTCCTTTACAAAATGCTCAATGCCATCTCCTCCCCTCTTGGTTCTCAAAAGGTAGCGAGTTCCCTGGCCTTCCCTGCATGCTATGGGAGCCACGGTGGTTTTCTGTACTGTCTCCCAGATGTTTTAGTTCCTGTGAATATTCTGCCCAATCCTCTAAAAACCTAGAAGCAGTTGTCCCCGGGACAGGTGAGCTGGTGAGGAGAAAATACTGGCTGAGAGAAATTTATGTGTATTTCAACAGGAAACTAAGCTTGTGAAGGTCTAAAGAAAACTTAGCCTGCTGTCTCAATGACTTCACTTGATTTGTGGGGAGAGATTCAAGGGCCCTGCCTTCCATTCTGACTCTTAATGTCTCTTCTTATTTACAGATGACTTTAGCCGAGTGAGATTAGTCTCCATGAATGAAGAGGAAGGGGCAGACTACATCAATGCCAACTATATCCCTGTAAGCAAAAATGAAAAATAGATAAAGCCGGCACCCAAATTCTCAGGGCTAAACTGTGCCCCCCCACAGTTCCGAACAGTTGACATTATTTCATTGAAGGACAAAGAATTGGGGGAGGCAGAGTCGAGTGGCTAGTGATAATCAGATTCTTTGTGAAGGACCAGGGAAAGTAGATACGAGTACTAAGGAATGTATTTCCTTAGTGGACTGTGGGCGACCTGGCTGTTGGTCTACTATAGAAGCAATTCCTGATGGGGGAATCCAAGTGTCCCTTCCATTATTGATAAAAATGACTCAATTAAAAAACAGAAACTAAAAGGCAACTATTTATATATTTGTTTCAAACTAAAAGAGGCCCACTTGCACACCCGAGCTTATGAAATAACTAAAGAAACTGGACTTTGAGTGGTGAACTTAGTGTAGTATTGATAGATGGTGTCTTCAAGGGATGCACACCTGAAATTTGTTATCATGTAACATTACTTCAGTATATTACAAAATATCTATAAAAATAGTAGTTGATGTCATTACAAAGATGCGTGTGTGATTTTATACTGGCCTTTCTGAAAAACTGTGCTTAAAGTCAGACAGGACTGCAAAGGCAGTCGCTCTGATGCCGAGGGGAGACTGCAGCACCAGACCTGACTTGCTGCCAGGCTCATTGTGGGGAATTTTCAGAGTTCTCACTTGTGTGGGCCATCGGTGTGGACACTGGTTCCTCGGGTGACAACTCTTGTCACTAAATCTTTCAGGGATACAACTCTCCCCAGGAGTATATTGCCACCCAGGGGCCACTGCCTGAAACCAGAAATGACTTTTGGAAAATGGTCCTACAACAGAAGTCGCAGATTATTGTCATGCTCACTCAGTGCAATGAGAAAAGACGGGTAAGTGCCTCCCGGCATGGACACAGATGGTAACGTGCCTACATGACTGAGGCCTCCTGCGCTCCTCACCACCGTCTGCACAACTGGCCTCTACTGTTCCGTGAGGCCGGTGGGGACTGTGTGTTTCCGACACACACACAGCCTTCCCTTCTTCCCCAGCCTCTGTGTTCTTGTGTTACCACCTCAGGTGAAATGTGACCATTACTGGCCCTTCACGGAAGAGCCCATAGCTTACGGAGACATCACTGTGGAGATGATTTCGGAGGAAGAGCAGCACGACTGGGCCTGCAGACACTTCCGGATCAACTACGTAAGTCACCACACACTGAGGTGACCCCGGCGGTGTTAGGGACCTACGCCCCAGGCCATCAGACGGGTGCAGGCTGCTGGGCCCTGGGTCCTTCTAGAGAAAGGCCCTGAAAGCAGACAATGGAAACCAAAACCAGCCGTGTCCACACGCCATGAGCCCTAATTCAGCAGTCATGAGTTTCTATTCAGATGAAAGCTATCACTTCCTTCATTAAACTGACAGTTCGCTTTGGCTTTTGTTACATGGGGAATTTAGATAAATTCCATTGCACCACAACAGACTGTGCCTCCTGCTGTTGCCTCTGTGTAAAATGCCCCTCTCCTCCTGTTCCCTGAGAACATCCCCACTCTCCTCAGGCGCTTTGGCTCCCATGTGGTGCCCTCCTCAGGGACAGGCCCTTCCTCCTTGCTTGAGCCCCAGCTCCTGCCCAGTCCCCACGTCCACCTCCAGCACCATGTGCGGGGGGAGTTTGGGAAGCAGAGGCTCTGTTTTAGGGATCCTTGTAATCCCCACACAGCGCTACCTGGTCAATCCACGAGGAAGAGTAAGTCGGTGGGTGGACGCTGGTAATGATGGTAAAGCACTGAAAGCTGCAGAGTCCACCGGAGAAGTAGTCAGCTACCTCCATGCCACTAGAGTTCTCCTTTCTTTCTTGACTATTTCAGCTAGAAAGCAGTGTGAATTGCAAGACACATGTAAAACAGACTTTTCTCTACTTTTTTTTTTTTTTTTTTTTTTTT